GGCGTACTCGTTTAAATAACCGTTGAGGTTAGAATTCATTTCTGAGTAGGGTAGGTGGGAAAAGAAAAAGTAGGATGTTAAACCCCATATCATTTGATTTGATTGAGTTTGACCAGATGCCTGAATCTGCGTACATAGAGAGGGGGATAAACGGGGTTTAACATGCTTTCGACACAAACTAGGTCATTTCGAGACTAACATATTGTTCAATTTTATTTCAATAATTCGATTGCCGATAGGGGTCTTTAGCAGTGGGAGGGAACTGGAGAAATCTCGCGAGATTGGACAGGCGATCCTACTCCTTGTCATGATCAAGCGGGAAATCGAAACCACGCCAATTGACTCAATGACAGACCTTATGATACAACGCGCACACGTTAACCATTCGGCCATCTGAAAGAAAATATATCAAAATCAACAATCATGAGGCAAGAGAAACATCTTCTGTTCAAGATTTGTAGGACAGCTATTGTTTATTTTGTTACCATTTAAAAGTAAGTACACGAGAAACGCACCATCCTCAAATAATACAAACACGCGGACACGACACACCCAAAACTGCAAGCAACATATAATTCAAGTATTATCAAATCAGGTGATTGAATTGTCTGAGACACCACCACTATTGTGGGAACAGACTTCAAACATCCACATGCCCTGACAGTAAGAGTAAGATGAAAAGACACTTTCAAAGCAACATTTCCCCCGTCCTTGCGTTCTGAATGGTGTGTTTGTGTGTGGGGACGACGAATGATTAGCGCGTGCACGTTGTATCATAAGGTCTGTCATTGAGTCAATTAAACGGCGTGGATTCGATTCGAAGGTTGTACGTGACAATGAACAGGGTCGTCTGTACAACCTCGTGGTTTTTATCTTGGTCCTCCGGTTTCCTCCTATTGCTAAAGACCGCTACGCGCAAGCGAATTATTGAAATAAAATGGAACCATATGTTAGTCCCGAAAGGACCTAGTTTGTGTCGAGTGGACGCACGCTCTCTCTCTCTCTCTCTCGCTCGCTCTCTGAATGGGAATGGTGTGTGAACGTCTAGATTCACCCGATTAGATTTTATTACATACTTCGAGAAGGTATTTGTTGAGTAATAAAACCTTCTAGTAGTTTATCGAGGGCTGGCCGTCCTTACCGCACGGTACAAATATTATCACCACTAGAAGCAACAAAATCCGGAACAAGCCAGAACTCATACCAAAATGGCCGCTTTATACAAATGAGTATTTAGGGGAATACTAACCCGAACCCTAACCCGTTTAAGAGAAGTAAAAACTAAATTAGACCCAAGTTCAGTCTTTTAAAAAGGGTTAGGGTTCGGGTTAGTTATCCCCAAAATTCTCATTTATATAAAGCGGCCATTTTGGACTCCGGAAACACCCGAACCTCGATAAACTACTAGAAGGTTTTATTACTCAACAAATACCTTCTCGAAGTATGTAATAAAATCTAATCGGGTGCTAGATTAGCCTGGCTGGAGCCAAACAATTCAAGAGTTAACCTTCAATTCATTGAAAATTCGAATGTCATGGTAAGATATTAAGTGTAGAAAGATGGATACATTTGATTTTTATCATCTCTGTATATGAAACAGGACCTTTGTTTACTGATTTCTGTGATTAATGTCAATAGTCATCCATATCAAGCAATTCCCTAGGGTTACAGTTAAATATTTATCAACAAAACTCTTAGCTCGAGTGTATTGGTTAGTTGTATCGTAACATTCAACAACTCAACTGTATCCAACCAGTAAATACATTAGTTTAACGTCCTATTGTTCTGCTCCGAACGACTAGACATTAATTGGCTAAGCACTAAAATAAATGTAATATTATCCAATCAAATTACAAATATTTGTATTTTATCTTAGCTAAAATTTCGATGTTTAAAGGAGCTAAATCGCTAATATTTGGGACCTAGAAATTGACACAAAGGGGTCGCAAGGCATATAATAATGCAATATGAATGTATATAAACTGTTTCACATTCAATCGTTTCGGTTTTCACTCTAATTTCAAATCAGTTATGTTCGGCGAAATACGCCGATCGAATGGCAATCTATAGCGTCTGGTTATTCCAGTCTACACCGATAGTATTTATTGCGCATGCTCTCCAGATTCTCCAGATAAGAATATGACGTCACCGTTTGAATGACTTCTGGAATATGTCAATCCTCATTCTTTGAGTCCCGTGTTACAAATTGGCGAAATTGCGCTGTAATGCATTATGGTACAAGATTCGTGTACTCATTGTAAGATGTTTATTTTGTCTTAAATATTGGATATCAGACGCCCATCCATCTTTTCCCGGTAAGGTCACAACATCAATGTTGATTTAAATTGACATATAATTCGTGTTTTTAATGTTGAAGACTTTGGGTGATATTTAGTTAGAGACTTAGCTACTTTAAACTGATGGAGTTTAACGTCCTAGCTGTGTGTCATCAGTTGAACCTTGCACGAATGCCAGCAGTAAGGGGTTCTTTTAGGTGCACGACAACGAGTAGACGGGGCAGATAGGGGGCTCGGTATTTCGCCCCATCAGAACTAGACTTCGTTTCCTTGCAAGCCCTCTCGTCTTGTAACACTGACCACGGGCATACGTCATGCACAATCCCCCCCTGCTCTTTATCGAATTCCAACTGCAAAGGGTTCCTTTACGGGTTCTCGGTTCAATCCGAACAACACCGCCCTGCTTTCCATCCAAGCCTTTTAAATCCCGAAGAACAGGTATCATATCCAGGAACCCCTGATTAGTGTATCAGCCCCTAACTCACCGAGCAACCATGACTCTGTATAGCTTACATGAAATTAAAATGTTTGTAAAAATACCATTTTATAGGGACAATGTTTTATGATTCTGGGCTCCAGAATATTATACATTTAAACAGATTCTACCTGGCGGTCCTAACCCACCGGGCACTGCCCAGATGTCCATACGACCAGTCCGCCACGTGATCCCAATTGAGTATTCACTGGTATCTACTGGTAAGTTCATGGCTATATATTTTTCTGTATTTAGGTTTGAGTAATTCTATGTTTCTATGACTAATATGTATCTACGGTTGTATACCGTCTATGATTTGCCATGTTCTTATTTTGCAAAATTCAAATATTTTTCATATATATTTAGCCAGGTGTGCCGCTGTTTTTTCATGTGTTCCAAAGTGTGCCGTTTGCAAAAAAGGTTAAGAACCACTGGATTACTCTAAATCATTTCCTGAGTTATCTTTCCTTCCGTTATGTTCGTACAATGATCATGTCATTACAGTTAATTCAGATTAAGTATTTGTTTTGCCCTTGCGCTATTATCGTATTTGTACTAAGCACTATTACCACGCGATTTTGTCATCGCTTATAATCTTGATTTGATATTGACTGTAACCGCCGACGCTTCCACTGTACCCTCCAATCACTCAATAACCCCGCTGCATTGAATTCTCTCAACTACAAAATTGGCAAGCAATGTTTTTTTTAACAAACTCATTTGTGTTCATTTCATCAATTCGACATTTCCATTTTAAACGCATAACAACAATGAACGATAAAAATCGCATCACAGATCAGGCTAAAATTATGTCATGACACGTATGGCTAGGAAAGGGGGTTGATTGAGTGAAAGCAGTGCTAAAGAATGGCGTTCAGATAGGCGGTTGGATTCGTTTTGAAAACGTTTGCCATGGAACCACAAGTAACTCCCAATCAATGCAGTATCTGAGGTGCATTTACCCGGGGAGCTACGGTGGCTAAGTGGGTAAGACGCTGTAGCTCTCAATCATTGTCGTATCTGGGTTGAATTTACCCGGGCACTACCGTGGGTAAGACGCTGTCTCGCTAGCCTGGGGGTCGCGTGTTCGATCCCTGCATTGGCCGATATGGTTCATCGGGGTTTTCCGACGTGGTTCCCCCTTGTCAGTGATGCAGGACGAAGGACCTGACAAGGACAGCTTCTAGTCGTTCGGATTGGACGAAAAACGGAGGTCCCGTGTATACGTTGGCATGCACATAGAAGATCCCTTGGCAGTTGGAATTAGATATAAAAGTAGGCCATAGCGCCGCTGCCCGGTAAAATTTCCCCATACAACACTGTATGATGTATTTGTTGTCTTCATTATCCCAGTCGGAGCAGAACAGTAGGACGTTAAACCCCATATCAGTAACCAGCTCCGCGGTTCGATCCCGGTTTCGACCTAGAGGGTATCCCTGGATTTTACATCGTTGGTTACAATTGTCAGCGGTGCAGGGCGGGGGCCTGACAAGGATAACGTCTAGTCGTTCGGATATGTATTGGTGTGTACGTAAGAGTATACCGTAGCGCCACTGCCCGGGCAACATTTCCCTCATAGCCCACTGCATCGCTTATACTCGCCTTTATTTACCTTTATTTAAACCCCATTTCGTTTCATTTTATGTCTACCGACTTCATGATCATACAAAAGTAACGAAATTGCGTAGACAAAAAATTACTTTCATTCACACCCTACGCTTCGTCATAGTAGAATCGCCTGTCTAACCTCGTGGGTTTTCGAAGGGGTCCTCTAGTTTCTCTCCACCCCTACGCACAAAATGACACAATCTGCGTCGAATGGACGTTAAACTATCTATCTCTATGCTAAAAACTCCTACGCATAAGCGAATTACTGGAATGAAATTGTACCATATGTTAGTCCCGAAATGACATAGTCTCTGTTGAGTGGACGTTAAACTCTCAACTCGCTCTCTCTTGGTCGAGGGTCAAACAATTCGGGTGGATCCCACCCACCCACTATGTGTTAGTTGACGTTAAACACAATTTGTCTCTCTCTCTCTCTCTTGAAAACACCTGTAATAATTCCGCGTGAACGTCTACCGTTAACACAAGTAAACGTTCAGACATATATACATATACAAAGAACTAAAACTCCCCACCTGCCCATCACCGTTATACTGTATCACGTGACACGCAATACTCTCCTCCCTACACAAAATGGCATGTTGTATTGATTCTGTGCTTCAGTTGCTGATGGAATCTCTGACAGTGAACTTGATTACCACTATACTACTGCACGGTACTACCATACATACATTGTAACATTTCATACACGGAAAGCCTACCAATTAGCGGCAACATGTGTCCGCGCAAGTGAGAAACTTCGTCAAGTTTTCGCGAAGTTGTTAAACATTGTGGAGTCCAGCAGCCACCTGGATTTAATAGGTAAGCTCCTCAAACACATTAATTCGTATTTTTCCATACATATTTTAAATCTGAAATCCAGCGCACGTTTTAAAAACGTATGACTTTGTGACACATTTCAATTTTCAGACGTAGATTTTATTTTTTCATTTTGACTGATATTTTTATACGCACATCTTGACTCTGCTATGGACAAATTTCTTCTCTAGCATTAGTTGTAGTTTTAATAATCTTCAATTATTTTTGAATATTTTGGGTGGGTCGGGTTGGGAGAAAAAAAAAAATACAATATAAATTTTCATATAATTTGAATATCCTTTCGGTCAATGGAACAATTAGGCCTACGCTACTTTTTGAATAGGGGTGGTGTTAAGAACATACAATGATCGTCCGGCTATTTGTTTAAAAATTCAAATTATACAAGAGAAAATTGATGATCGTTCATGAAAAGGTTCATGAAATGAGGAACATAATCCAAAAAATATTGTCAAAATGTTAATTGATTTAAATTTAACTTGCAAGATTGTGATGGTGTTCAATTTGTTAATCTGAATTCTTTGAGTAATTTCGTAGATTGGGGCGGCCAATTTTGTCGCTTTATTTTTGTTTGTTTAACACATAATGTGTGTCGATATTTTTTTACTTTACCTTATTTGGACATTTTAAAACAATTTCGGTGGTTTATGCTCGTTGCTGGACATTTAACCATTATCGGGGTATGTTTGAGCATAGTGCAAATTTTGCGCATTATATGTTTTTAGACCGTGGAAATGTAACGTCCCACTGTTCTACACCCACTGGACAAATGAAGACGGATTTAAGACCGTGGAACTTGTCAACAGTACATCGACTTTAGACTGGATTAAATTTTACGGTCGCGGATATAGGAAATTAACATCTTTGTCGAAGTTAAATTTCTGTTTTGGCTCTTAAGAGTGAATAATTTTGTTGGAAGGAGCTTTGGCATTGACTGCGTTAAAACAAATTGTAACAGAAATGAAATGGGGTTTAACGTCCTACTTTTCTGCACCGACCAATGAAGACGGAAATACGCCATACAGTGTGCTTTGAGTGACATTTTGCCCGGACAGCGGCGCTACGGCCTACTCTTATATCGAACTGCAACTGTCAAGGGTTCTTTTACGTGCACGCCAATATGGAAATTGTAACAGAACAAAAAACAAAACTTTAAATGACAAACCTTAGAAACTAAAAAAAAAAAGATCACGAAGGAAAAGAGAGTTATAGATTTTTATTAGGAAATGTTTTGTCTTTCAATTACATTCTAATCTCTGGTGATATGACCGAGATTGCGATTATCGACGAACATTGAAAATCATCATGTCGAGTCGCAAATGGAGGATTTATTGATGTGATCATATCTGAAAGACTGTTGAAGGACATGCTTTAATATCGGGGAATCAAGGAAGAAATAGACAAAAAGGTTGGTTCGTTTAGAGGTGTGTCAAAACACTTATTTTATCGTAGCTATTGTTCTTATCTGAAAGACCACAAAAAATGCATGTTAGATCTCGTAGCGGGGGATTGGATGATCTTCAATTGTTTATAAGGTCTGTCAATGGCGCCATTTGGTAGCAAATTGTATACGCGTTCTGTGGAACAATCAATTTCATGTAAAAACATTCAGAGTCACATCGAACCAAGGCCATCCATTACCCTTTATTTACCTTAATTTGTCTGAAAAGTGGAAGTCAGTTGTTGTACTGGTAATTATGATTCGTATTAAACATCATTTTGAAGTTGTAATTAAACCCACTCGTTGTTAGTTTCGCGTCGAGCATTCTCGTACAAAAATCTGGTTTGCCCCTTATGTTTTGCCTGGACTCTTCGCATGTATGCGCCCGAGGTAATGAAAATCTGAGATGTGCTCTGAAACAATAAAGAAAAACAGACATTAAGATTGGTTCATTTCGAAATCTGTACGCTCAAGGGGTCAGCGATCTGAACGTATATTTGTCAGCAGATAAGTTTTATGTCCTAAAAGTAGGTATGAAAATTCGTTCATTTAGGAATATGTACGCAGGGGTTTTGAAGATCGGGTCCCGAGTACACTAAACATTCTCAGACTTACATTAAGTTAAGAATTTACTCAAAATTGTTCACCTTATTTTAACTAAAATATAGCCTTTATAAAACTTTCGTTGTTTTAATGTATCAAATACAGCAATAAGAAACTATGTGCAAAGTTTTGTGTTTCTGAATCGAAGAATTTTCTCATAAATAGTGATTGGAAGTTGGGTAAATTATTAACTTAAGTCTGAGAATTCTTTGTGAACTCGGACCTGAACGTATATTTGTCAGCAGATAAGTTTTATGCCATAGAAACAGATATATTAAGTTTGTTCATTTAGAAATCTGTACGATTGAAGTTTTGAAGATATGAACGTAATTAAAGAACACGGTGGTCCAGTAGCTGAGATGGATATAAAGTTACTTGACGAATTCAGTGAAAAGAGTCGATGAGTTAAACCTCCTGGTGCTAAACTTAAGTACGAAAGATTTTCAGCGGATGAGCTAAAAAAAACAACCTCTATTCGGAATGCTAGAAAACCTGAAAATCAGTTGATGTCGATACATTTTTTAAATCCGTTCTTGGATGATCTGTTTACTCTGTGAAGTTTGTTTTGCTCCTTTCAGTGAATGAAAACATTCTCATTCTCAATCAAACTGTTTCTTACTTTCTTTATTCCATGTTATGGCTGTTCTGTGATTCTCTGTTGCTCAGTGGTTGTAAATGCCAGACAAACTTCAGATTTTTACACCGGTACTTGATTATTTCCCACTATGGCGCTTTAGCTGCATTTTTAACGTCATCACGACCCCAGAAAACCATATGCCGGATATATATTACACGGCATATCCCATATAATATTAGGAGTAGAACGGCAAAAACAATCATATTTTGGTCGCCATATTAGACCGAAAGCCACACATTAGGTCGAAAATTACAACGGATTCAGCATCGAATTGCCCCTAAAGAAACACTTGTAGTGGATAAAGAAAATATGTTTACCCTACCCTAATTTAAGATTCAAACTGCCTAATAATCCCTTAGGGAATTTAACTGGTTAATTATTAAACAGCTTTTCTCTATATTAAGTCAATCCTTTAATAAAAGCGCTGATAGACTCTAATGGAAATAGCGAAGACAGTTATTTATTTTATCTACTGACTGGAATAACCTTCCATGAATACAGAACATCGTCGTTTTCAGTTACTTTGATCTATACAGCAGAACTCATGAAGAAATGTTGTTTTTTCTTGTAAATAGTTTTTTCTCTCAAAGATTCTCTATACTGCAGAACTCACGAAGAAACTTTTTGTTTATTTCGTGTAAATATTTTATTTTTTTGTATATGAATTTGGTTCATTTCTTGTAAAGAAAAAATTCTTAAGAATTTTCTATACTGCAGAATACACGAGGGAATTCTGTTTATTTCTTGTACAAAAAAATATATTTTTTTTTTCTTTCAAATAATCTATTTTTCATAAGTATTTTCTATACAGCAGAAGAAATTTTGTATATATTTCTTTTTTTTCTAAAGGATTTTCAATACTGTAAATATATATTTTTTTTCTTGAGGATTTTCTATACAGCAGAAATTTAATTTATTTATTGTAGTTATATTTTTGTCTTTCTTAAGGATTTTCTTTTCTCGAATTTCTATTTTTCTTGAGGATTTTCTATACTGTAAATAAATATTTGTTTTCTTGAGGATTTTCGACACAACAGAAATTTAATTTATTTATTGCAATTATAATTTTTATCTTTCCTACGGATTTTCTTGTCTCGAATTTACAGCCTCCTTTACGCTCAAATCATAAATGATTTCGACTTAATTCAATTAACGTTTATTCATTATTAAGTTAATATTTCCATAAGCATTATTATTTTGGATGTGTCATGATACATGTCCTTCAAGATGTTAGAATTAACGTCGTCTAGCTATGAAATACGTTTTAATGGACTGTTATTGCTCCCAGGAGAATGAATATACATTCCTTGTCGAAGGAAAAAATCCATGTATTCTATTAACTCGCGCCGTTTTCCCGATGGAAAAAAAGAATAAATTGTATTAACGGGTAGACGGGGAAAATAACTCTGGGCGCAATTTTTGCCTAAAATTTATTTTTATTATCTCACGCAGAGTACAGCGAAATGCAACACTTTTTTTTATTATCAAGCTAGTAGCTGCTACGTCAATAAAACTATTAAATAGAATGTTTTATTAATTTTTTTAAGATTTAATGCACGCCAATATGTACTACTATGGATTATGTGATCAAAATTTAAGTTATCAACAGTAGATAAACTCACGACTGAGAATCAGGCGATTAGAAATGGGCCTGTCAAAAGATAAAATGAAATGCAATGTGGTTTAATGTGTTCTGCTCCGAACCGGGCTAATGAAGACGGGCATACGCCATACAGTGTGCTATGAGGGAAATTTTGCCCGGACAGCGGCACTACGGCCTACTCTTATATCGAATTCCAACTGTCAAGGGAATCTTTTACGTGCACACCAATGTGTACACGGGACCTCGGTTTTTCGTCCCATCCGAACGACTAGACAGCTGTCTCTCCATCCTGCATTACTGACAAGGGGGGACCACGCCGGAAAATCTGGATGAACTTTGTCGGCCAATGCTGGGATCGAGCACCCAACCTCCAGACTAGCGAGCCAGCGTCATACCCACTTAGCCACCGTGGCCCCGCCTGTCAAAAGAATTTCGAGAGAGAGAGAGAGATTAACGCCTACTCGACACGCGTAGGGGTCTTTAGCTGGGGGGAATACCAGAGGACCCGGAGAAAACCCACGAGATTGGATAGGCGACGCAACTCTTGTTACTTACAGGTGCGGGGTCGAAAACGATTGATTTAATGACAGACCTTATGATCTAAAGCGCACGCGTTATCCCCTCTCCACCCCCGGATTTACGAAACACTCAATGCTGGCGCCGACTTGTTTATGTCGTCTTTCGAAGAAGCAAAACGTTCGGAAATATTCACATATCTTTCAATACTAAACAAAAAGGAACAAATATCGGGACTGATATGTCGTACAGAGATTCATCTTTGGATTTGGATTACCCAATCCCCCCCCCTCCCCACGCCCCGCCTCCAAACTGACGGTCAGTGACTTAGTAGTTAACATTTTATGTTTCAATAATTATTATCTAGCCTACGAGATATTATGATACCCCCGTTAAAAAGTACAGACATGTTGTCAGAACCAATTCAAACTAATCTAAGTATGATAAACATGAAATATGTAATGGGATGACACGTCTTTATAGATATTTAACATCGAACAAATCAGGACCAATTACAATCTTCTATGGGTGATGGTGGTGTTCAGTCAACCCCTCACACCCACGCATTCTCGTCTTGACTATAATACATAAAAAAATATCACAGAATATCACTGACACAATCAGGGATGTGACCATTCTACGAGTTTTTTTTTCTCCACTTGACTTTTGATAATCAATTTAAAGACCTTTTTGTTCCCACCTGGGAGTTATTAAAATGGGTCCGTCCGTCACACTAATCGAGATAGAATGTTGACAGCTGATCTCGGTATTTCGTACCATCCGAACGACTATAGATTGTCCCTTACCAGGCCTTCTGTCCTGCACCACCGACAAGGAGGAACCACGCCTGAAAATCCTGATGAACTTTCCCGGCCAACACCGGGATCGAACACTGAACTTGCAGATTAGCGGGCCAATGTTTTCACACACCAAGCCACCATGCCCCCCCCCCCTCTCCAGTTGGATGTTTTATGTTAAAGGACAACATTGGTGTCATTATCACATATTATCTAGTGACATTCAATTATCTTTTTTGAATTGTCAGATATCCTCCCACAGTCTCACATAACAACTTTTGGTCTTCGAAGGAATTATTAGTCAGCAGAAATTCGCCAGTGTATCTGTTATCACTCTTCACTTCAGTCAGTTATATAGAAGGTAAACTCGTTTTTTCCTTTTGCGTTCGTCACTTCCGATTGTTGAAACCTTCATTACGCATCTATCGTAGCAATGATCTCTGTGTTAAAATTATATTTGGAACGTGTTTAATGAGTTCTATCACATATGTGATAATGACTAACTTCAATATTGTCCTTTAAATCAACAAGTATTTCCTTGTTGACCATCATGACGCGTACTGGATACATATATTTAAAAGAATGCCGAGTTTCTTGAAAGGACAGCGCCTTGGGCTGCTTTCGAAGGGAACAAGACCAAGATGAGTGGGGATTAAAGACCGGGTCCAAACATGAGAAACGTTAATCACACTTCAGTTTAATGTCTGGAATGTTTCTTGGGATGGTTTTCTAAATCTGAAGCGAACTTCCTCGTTGAATGTCTGGAAAATTTATCTCTGGAGGATTGCTTGTGTTTTGTTCGGTAATATGGTTAAATGAGAAATTAAAACCAAGCCAAGAATTAATCACTTATGTAAGGCATGTCGACAGTCTTAATATAGTCAAGAAAGTATCTTTATTTAGAAGTTTTGTCCGGTCGGTGATTCTCAATCAGTGTGCAGCGAGGTCTTCCTAAATGCGCCGCGAAATTTTAAACGGCACTTTAAGAAAATTTCTCGCTAAAGAAGCCAGCTATTTAACCGATTTTAATTGATGAAATTCGAAACACTGCAATAAAGTAAGTTCATAGCTGTGTATTTAGTTTGAGTCATTCTATGTGTCTATGACTAGTCTCTGTCTACAGTGGTATGCCGTCTATGACTTGCCATGTTTTTATTTTTCAAAATTCAAATATTTTTCATATATATTTAGCCAGGTGTGCCGCTTTTTTCTGCATGTGTTCCAGGGGGTGTCATTGGCAAAAAAGGTTGAGAACCACTGTGTCAGATATTCGATTTTAAAGTCTTACTGTTCCTCGCCAACCAGGAAAGTGAATACAGACACTCGCCACAGAGTGTGCGAGGAGGGACGTTTTGTCCTTACAGCCCATATAATTTTATTTTCAATGGTATCATGAGACCCGGGTCTAACCACCTAAACAACTAGGTCCCTGCCAGGCCCACTGCCCGGCACCATTGACAAAGGGGGGGCGGGGTGGGAGTGGTCGGACCAGACTGAAATCTCGAGGAACTATTGAGGCTAGCATCTGGATAACCTTAGAAACAAATACCGGAAGTTATTGTCCTCAGTCACTATTTCATTTCTTCATTAAAAAAAACATTCATAATTTAAATGCAGGATAAAGTTAAGTTCATCGAATTTCAATAATTACTTTCCGAGTTATGGTCCTTGGTCATTTGGAACACCTTTTGGAACTCACACGGGTTTTATATTCAAGCGACGACAAAGCCCATTGATTGTCGTTGATATGCAATATTCACGCCTAGAGTTACTCTCCTTGATCATGTTAACCAATCTTGTGGACTATCTACAGGCTATATTTATCCTTCGAATGTTCTCAAATTTATACCTAGCGTGTATATTTATAAGTCGAAGAAGCCTTTCCGAGATTGCTATAGGTCCGGTAGCCATCAAGAAATTGAAGCCGTATTTATACAGAGTGCTGAAGAGATTTCCAGGTCCTGTGGCAATCTAGATACTGAAGTTGTAATTTATACTGAGCGTTTATATTTCTATCTTGAAGAGATTTCTAGAGATGATAAATGGAATGATTCCAAATTGATGATAAATCTTGTGAATCATCTGGGGACAAAGCGTATTGTCCTGTTAATTCCAGGTATTATATTGCCCTTGATATCTAGCGTTACGGATGGGACGAAAAACCGAGGTCCCATGTACACGCTGGCGTGCACGTAAAAGAACATTAACAGTTGGAATTGGAAATAAGAGAAGACCCTCACTCATAGCACATTGTATGGCACATGCCTGTCTTCATTAGCCCAGTCGGTACGACAAAGTAGGTGTTACCGTTGCGACTATTTATACAATTTTTTTATGTTGATGATCATACACCGAGATTATCATATTGCGTATGATTAAAACTTTTAAATAATAATAATAATGACATTTTATTCTGAGGGAACATATTTAGCACATGAGTTGCTAATTTAGATTGACTTTCTGATCTTAATGTCATGGTAGATTCGGTAAATTCAGAATTTTCACAGAATGTGTTATATAAATATGATGGTAATTTGTCTCTTAGAATTTTGAAGGTGAGCATTCCTTGAGATTCAGTTTTTTGTGAATAAGTTTTTTCATCAAAAATACTTCTTCCCGCACGCTTTTGAAGTTTATACGGGACCTCTAGTTTACCTGTATTGGCATTACCCCAAACTGTGGAAAAGTAATCTAAGTATGGTAAAATATAGCCGTTGAAAAATAAAATTCTAAGATGGTGTGGTAAATAAGGGTTTAACTTTGTCAGCAGGTAGATTTTGGAGGATATGATTTTGGAAAATTTGTCTTTTTGGAGATTCCATTCCAAACTAAATTTTGGTCAATCAACAGTAAGTCCTGATAACACTGCTTGAGATACAGATTCTCCATTAATTTTTAATGATAAATGAAATGAAATGAAATGGGGTTTAACGTCCTACTGTTTTGCTCCTATACTGGGCTAATGAAGACGGGCATACGCCATCCAGTGTGCTATCGCCTACAATTCCAACTCTTTTACGTGCATTCTAATGTATACACAGGGCCTCGGTTTTTCGTCTCATCCGAAGGACTAGACAGCTGTCCTTGTCAGGCCCTCCGTTCTGCACCACTGACAAGGGGAAACCACGTCGGTAAATCCAGATGAACTTTCTCGGCCAATGCAGGGATCGAACACCTGACCTCCAGGCTAGCGAGCCAGCGTCTTAACCACCTAGCCACCGTGGCTCCCAATTTTTAATGATAAGTTGTTTGTGTTTGTTTGGTGTTTTGAAGCTAATGGCATGGCGTTTGTCGTTTTAGCATTCATTACAATACCATTATCACTACACCAATTAAATACATTTAGTAAATCCTCTTGAAGGGCAATCTCTATATTAGCTAGATTGTTGCTAGATAAATGAAGGATGCTGTCATCAGCAAAAAGATCAATATGTTACGTGATTGACTAATGTGTTGCCTTATCGCTTTGAGTTGAGTTATGGTAAATGATTTCAAATACGTGTGCGTACATGGGTGCCCATAGTACGTTACTTCATATTGTGTTAAAGGAAATGTTTTTAAATATGTAAGCGAGTGACTAGTGTTGCTTCATATTGGCTTTAAGTAGAATAGTATAAGCGATGCTACCTCATATTATGTTAAAGTAACATATGCACTTATAAATACGTACGTGGGTGACTATGGTGTTGCGCCATATTAGGTTAAAGTAGGATACGTACGTGGGTGACTAGGGTGTTGCTCCATATTAGGTTCAAGTAGGATACGTACGTGGGCGACTATGGTGTTGCTTTATATTAGGTTAAAGGAGCATTGTGGAAGATTAGATAAAGAGCTGACAGTTCTCACTATAATAGTTAAATCTAGATAATTTAAAGGGAATATGCGGAAAATTTCAGTCACATTGCTCTAGCGATTGAATTTTAGCCCTAGCCTCGATCATCATTACTAAAGTCGGTAGGATAAAAAAAACATAGTCTCGATTATCCAGTTTTGCATTTAATCATCAATGGGCTTTGAGCAGCATATCGGATTCAAATCCAGTGAAAATCGAACACATAAGATGACATCGAGAGTTGATTATGGCCTGGATAAGTTAATTAATAGTTTATATAGCATTTCAGGCCTAAAGAAAGACTTGCAATAGGCAGTTTTGGCTCTTGCATAATGTATGTTTAATTAATATCTAATTAATAGTTTATATAACATTTCAGACCTAAAGAAAGACCTGCAATGGGCAGATTTATCTCTTGCATAATGTATGTTTAAAGTAGAAAGTGTGCTTTTAAATATGTACGTGGGTTGTTGCTTCACATTAGGTTAAAGTAGGATACGTACGTGACTAATGTGTTTCATATATGTGGATATTATAAATTAATACAAGATGACATGTTGATCCGGCACCAGTTTCATTGCTAAAATTGTTATAAATTGATTCGGCACCAGTTTCATTGCTAACATAAATATTTTCTTAAATTTCTATGATGGTTTTATTAAATATATATCGCTTATACTAACATACTTGTATCACACATATGTACATACAATCCAATGTACTCAGTTTTGGCAAATGATGCTTTTTAGTCCGTGACAAAGTTGTTTTTGGATACACTCGGTAAACTGTTAAAGTTTTTGGCGTGTTTGTGCAAACATCAAATATATCTGATCGCTTATTGTTTCGTAATTATTATAATAATATCTCGTTTGTAGTATAGTCTGGAAAACGCATTAGAAGTTCGGTGATAGTGCCTTGTTACTTTTACCTTCATGTCTATAAATATGTTTTAAAGTGGATAGCTCTGTCGCATAATCTGTGGAATTATCAACTGGTTGATTTAAATGAAATGAAATGAAATGAAAATGGTGATTATGACGTCCTACTTTTCTGCACCAACCGGGATAATGAAGACGACAATGGTGTTTATAACGTCCTACTTTTCTGTACCAAGACAGACAAGCAGTTTGCTATGAGGGGCATTGAGCCTGGACAGCGAAGTTTCCCACTATCAAGAGTTACTTTAAGTGCAAGCCAAGGGGAAACTGCGATGGGAAGTCCCGCGAAAGCCTCTCTCTGTCAATACCGGGATTGAACCAAGGACCCCCTGCTTGGCGATCCCACGTCATACTCACAGAGCCAATGTGGCTCCTATGTGATTCCATTCTGTGGCAACTGGGATGCAACGTCCGCCTAAAATATAACATTTTTGATGCTTACATTTCGACTACACGTAAGTAAATATGGGCTGACCTTAGAGCCTTACCGAGCCCCACCTCTCCTCGACCAGGGAGTCACGGGTTTTCTTCCGGCGTGGTTCCTCCCGTCTGGCCCTTTGGATGGAATGTCTTCGTTAACACCCCTGATGC